TACGTCCTTTCTAACACCTTTGCATAGACTTTACCTGGGAGGCTCAATGACGTTATGCCCCTATAATTGGATCATTCCTTGTGGTCTCCTTTTTGAATACGGGTACAATAACTCCCGTTCTGCAATCCGCTGCTGTCTTTCCCACAGTCATCGCAGTTTGACAAACACGTGTTAGCCAGCACATTCCTTGTTTGCCTATTGCCTTGAGCATCTCAGGGCGGATTTCGTCAATTCCAGCAGCTTTTCAATTTTTAAAGCTTTTCACAGCTTCTGCTGTTTCATCTACAGAGATAGTAAAATCCGTATCTTTCTGCTCTACAGACAAATCTTCCTGTTGTTGCGCTGGGTTAAGGAGTTCCTCAAAGTACTCCCGCCATCGATGAAGAATGTCGTCATCCTTGGTAAGAGGGTGTCCAGATCTGTCCTTCAAGACTCTGAGACTGCCTGTCTTTTCACCTTTGAGCCGGCGGATGGTCTGCCAGAATACTTTGTTTGCCGTGTGGACATTTGTCCCTAAAATTCTTATTCCCCTTTTTTGATGTGTTTTTGGTTTCTGTCATATCCCATTAGATCAGGTAGCCAATCGAGTGAGGATTCAGCACCCGCCTGAATCACTTGTTTTTCATCACTTCGAAGGGGATAAGTGGTACTCTTACTTAAGAAGGAAGCAGGATACTACGCACTGTAGTAGTAACCAAGTTACAGACGTTATTTTAGAAACAGATACGGAAATGTTTACTAATGGTTACTTTCATTTTTGCTTTGAACGCTTTTTGGTGTTGATGGGCGATGCACGCTGTTCCTTCCTAAATTTCTTTTGCCTCATTCATGATCCCCTATGGAGTTGCGGCACAGGAATTCTTCCGTGCTCTTTTTAATTAATGCATGTGACCGCCTTGAATCCCTTCGTCCTGTTTCCATGCTGACAATGCAGTGTTCCATTTTACAGATACTTGAAAATCTTTGTTGGTTTTTGGGTACACTGTAAGTCGTTTTCGATTTTAGAGTCGCAGTGGAATCGCCATGGACGCATTTGTTCGGTTGGTTATGGATCGTATTCGCAGTACCCTACCGTTTTATTGCACTGTCTGTTTATGAAATATGCATGTTTCTATGTAAGGTTCACTCGATGGTCAAGCATAACGAATTTGTGATTCGTAAATTTAGACAACACATTCATTCTGCAGTTTCGGGCCGTTACCGATCCCGTTAAGGATGTAGTTAATTTCATAGCTGGTTATGAATCAAAGTACGGAGCGGATCATCCAGCCTTTTATCACGGAAGCTACACGATGGTACATGGTGTCAGTTTTTGATTCATTTCTTAATTGATGCGGATACTTTCTCGATAGGCGCTGGCGGACGCCAAGAAAAAACTCAGCTTTCTTTTGGTCTATCTTCATTCACATCGTCATCAAGACACTGACGAATTTTGTCGGTACCGCTTGAACTTGTCTTGCGTGTTTACCGACATTGCAAACCTTATATTCTGTTCATTTCAGGTCAGTGCTGTCTAATCGCAAGGTGATAAATTTCATCGACAGTGAAATGCTGTTTTGGGCTTGCAACGTGGACTCAGGTGAAGGTTACAAAGGTATACTTGCGACTTTTGATGAATATTTGCAAAGTTGGTGGCTGAGGCCTTTTTTCGTTGTTACGCTTAACCAGGGTTGTTCAGTTGGCGGAGCTGTGGACTCAGAACTGAGAAGTCCTGGATTCGCGCTTCGGTCGGGTTACTCGTCTTTCTTCCTTCCGACACTGATAAAGGAATACCATTTTGTGGGAAGGAAAGAAGAGACTGAACGCAATGCTTGTCATATATCTGTTGATTCTGCTTTTAAAGTTGGTATTACTGGCTGATTGCGTGGACATGGAGATCAGCGCTGCGCTATAATCTTCATAGAATTATATGCGCCACAAAAATATAAGGGAAGCAGAAATCCCAGCTGTTATGAACTTTTCTTTTCGTTGCTGTTGCCCATAGCCTAATCAGCATATTATTCCTACTTGAATAATCAGAAGCCGCGTTCGCCACTCTTAAGTCAGTTGTGCGTCTTGTTTTTTTCTTCATTTGTGATTATGATACGACTTGGTTATTGGTTTGATTGCTGTATCGAGTGACGTAATGTATGCGTTTCTTCTTACTGTTTGCCACTGCTTGACGTCCTGTACAGTCTGTGACATGATCACAAGGCAGTCCTTATGTGAAGTTTTGTTTACGGCTTGTTGGTAAGTGTGGTTTGGCTTTGTCATTGTCAGTTTATCTTTGATACCTTCCAACGGTGAATTTATTTGGCCTAACTGTCGATTTCTGTGCTACGAACTCTTTTTGTTTTCCTGCGGTCCACTTTTGCAGCAAGACGGCTATCTTAATAGTGCTTTTGTCTTGTCACGGAACGTTCAGTTTTTTTCTTCGTCTTCTTGCCTCTTGGAATCTGATTGACAAACCTTTTGCTTACTGTCAGTCACCTATTTCCGTTGTGTTCCCGCCCAAGTCCATATTATTTCAGGCCTATTGACCTAAGTAACTTTGTTGGCTGTTAGCGCTCCCATCAGTCGATGTTCCATACTCTTCATTTGATCATTAGCGTCTTACGTTTGTTGCTTTATGTGCCTTTCAGAATTTTTTCATGTTTGCAGAGCAGATTTCGCGTCCAGAAGTGAACGCAACAAAGTATGTTCTCCTTATTTAGATGATCAGATATCCATTCAAATCTCGCTCAGATTCATATTGTCTGTGCAGAGATCTGATAGCATGAAGCTTATTTATGGGTAAATGGTATGATACGTTATCCACGTAAGTTTCATTACAATTGAGGAAGTCTGGTAACATTCTTGCCGTTGACTGGGAATTGGAAAGCTTGACAGCAGAAACCGTAAAGTAAATCTAAAACGTTAGTTAATTACAAAGGTTATACCTTTTTGGTGATCCTTCCCATGTCCTGTTTATTTATAGTTGATTAATCGTCATAACATTTTCCAGCAAAGATAAAGTCATGGCCATATTTAGTAGTGATAGTAACAGCGAATTTACTGGAATGAACAAATAAATACAAAAGTTTTACCAGTGGCAAATGATGTAAACAATATCATCATGCATACAACTATAAAGGTTAAGGGTATAATATCTTTCACTTTGAAATGTCGATTTTATTCCGTGTTATCGATCATGTTCCTTTCGAGTAGGCAATTTTCTCAGTTTGGTCGATTCTGCTGTGTGTTGTGCGCATTTCTGATAGTTTGACAGGTGCTGTGTCTGGCAGGAATTGTTTGATTTAATAAAATATGCATATATTGTAATTTCTTCATTGCTCCCTGAAAGGTGAAATGGATTAATTGGTTTTAGTTTCGTTGGCAATGCGAGAAACAGCGTATCCTTTCCTGGCACTTATTTGTTTGCGTGGAAGAAAAATGATGATCGTTTTAAGACAGCAAGGTCTTTGTACTCCTTGGATGCTAATCGATGTTTTAAGGACTGCGATGCACGACAATTCCGTGTACTTGAACGTGGCCAGACAAGAAAAGTAATGAGCTGCTTTTAAAGATTTTTAAAGTTTTCGACTTATATTTCACATTAGTAAATCAGCGTCTGTGAAGATCCTCTTTCTCTTTAGAGGCTTTATTTTGCTGGTAAATGTAAATACCGGGTTCATATTAATATCTCAATAAACCTGATTTTGCCAAATTAGGTTCACGGTGTCATCAAACCAACCCCGTGTTTGTTCTGAGAGGTCTAGGAAGCACTTTCAGCAGACCGCAGCTAGTGCATTCCACAATGCTTCACTCGTTTCTACGGACCCTTACTTTGTCGTCGGCTCTTCGTGAGATGGATGTCAAAGCTGGATTTGTGATTAGTATTTTGCCGTTAACAAAAAAAAACAAGGTTAGTGTGAAAAGTATTTTCGGCTTGCGCGTAAGCTATCTTTCGCTGTGTTTCGTGGCCATTCTAGGATAACCGTTAGCACGTAGGAGCGTTTGTCAAGTCGATAGGCAGTCAGAACGTTGATCGTTTAAAGAAGAAAGCCAGTGAAAAGCAGTAATTTAGGATTATGATCTAGAGGCCGCAGAAACAGTCGAGAAATTTAGAAAATCCTGTTTCAATGTACGGAGCACATTAATGGATTTGCGTCTGGCAGTAATGGTAAAATTCGACCACAGATTTGTCCTAGTTTTTGCTCATTAGAGAAAGTACCTCCCCTGTGGCCTGACCAATTTTTGTCGAAGGTAGCACGGATACAGGCATTGCAGCATTTGACTGTAAACTGCAGTCGATGTTGACTGTCTTTTCTGCATATACCTTTGACAGACATCATTTGAATCTATTATATTTAAAAAACTTTAGGGCGGATCGAGAATATAACCAGGTACTGCGTCAGCAGCAAGAAGCGGCCTATTTGGAATGTCTGTACGCTGACCAGCTGAAAGAAACTCAACGTCTTGAGGAGCAACGACAGAAAGAAGCGGAGGACGCCGCAGTAAAGAAAGAAGAAGACAGGAAACGCTTTGAAGCTGAACAGTTGAAAAAGCAGAAAAGTGATCTGCGTAATTCTCTCCCTCCCGAACCACAACCAAACCGCTTAGATTCTTTGCGGATCAGCTTGAAGTTTCCAAACGATACGAGGTTTGAACGTCGTTTTCTCCTAGGAGATCCAGTTTCGGTGAATACGTTAAT